CCCTTTTTCCCCCTCCCCTGGCAGGCGTTCCCCAGTGAGAACACGGGGGCCCCTCTTTTTACCAGCACCATCAGAGTTCCTCCCCAAATTCATGCAAAACGCAATTCCTTGGAATCTCCGGCTTGCAAATCCAGAGTTGTTTTTTTTTTTTACCTGTTTTCCGGCCTTCCTTCTTCAGCGGGGATGGGTTTTGCATGCCAGCCTTCTCACGCCTCCGATCAACTTCCTCCTGAAGCCACATGTTGCAACATCTGGAGGCCGTAGGGCAGAATGGGACCCGCCTGGACGCAGGGCAGAACTAGTCCATTGTATCAAGCCCGAGTCCCAAAGCGGTGAATTGGATCTTTTTCTGAAATCCACCTGTCCTTCTTTCGATTTCTTATTGGAAACTGAAAAAAATCCAAATCTTGTGATTTCTTATTGGAAATTGAAAAAAATCCAAATCTTGTGATTTCTTACTGGAAACTTAAAAATCCAATGCTAACCCTAACCCAGAGCCCAAATTTGGCAGGTGGTTTAATTTCTGTTCTCACCGCCAGCCCTCTCTTCCCATTGCATTGTTAAGGGCATTTATTAATTGCTCCACGTTCATCTGCAATCCTTTCATCTCCTCTTTAGACAGATTTATCCCAGGGAGATGAAATTACAGAAACAAATAAGAATCAAGATTTACTTTTTGGATACCTTTTTCTTTTGGTAGAACGCGGGCCAAATGTTCAGCTCCTTACCCATTGAGGGGTTATTTTCATAATTTTGAAAAGGGGCTTCCAAAAAGCAATCGGTCGTTTCTTCTGAAGCGGATATGTGCGGGGCGCTCTCTGTGCATGGTGTTTAGGCAGCGTTAGCAATTTCTCTGGGCTTTCTCGGGCGTTTTTTCTTGGGAAGAGAAGAGGCACGGGTCTGATGTGATGTCCTGTCCAGATGCACATCTGCAAATGTGACATAGCCACAACGCACAGCCACAGAGAAATACAGTAGGACTGTTTTGGGGGTGCGTCTGTTCCAAAAAAGGGGGCAATGTAGTTCACAATCCAATGGGAGGGGAAAACTTCTCAATCAAGGGCCTTATTTCCCTTGAAAAATGCCATTTATCTATCTATCTATCTATCTATCTATCTATCTATCTATCTATCTATCTATCTATCTATCATTAAATTTATATGCCACCCATCTCTCCCAAAGGGTGACTCTGGGCGGCTCCCAATTAAAAACCAAGACAACAAAAACAATAAAAATATTAATCCCCCCCCAGATTAAAATCAGAAGTAACAAATCTATAAAAGGCTGTATGCATGCCCACAGTGGGCGGGGCTAAAGCCAACAGTGGGCGGGGCCATCTATCAAGAAGAGAAATGCGATTATTTGGAGATATCTGGGTTATTTGCAGAGATCAATAATGGAAGGGACCGCCCCTGTGGCTCCCTGTGAAGACATGGTTTGCTTCACCATGGTTAACTAAATAAACCGCCATTGGCTGGGTGGGTTCATGATGCACTAAGCCATTAAACCATGGTTTACAAGCTGCGTCTGCTGGATTCTCACCTAAGCTAAGTTATTCGGTTAAGCAAAGCTGGTGAGGGCTTCGGCCAGGTCAGCCGATCCCAGTGGACGAATCCCTTCTCCATTTAGCTGAAATAGAGACGGTTTGGGGCAACTGAGGCTTCTGTGCAAAAGGCTGGCGATGAATGGTGAGATCCTACCAAAAAAAGGGAATCAAAGTTTAGACACTTGAAAACGGTCCACCGTTGGCCAGTGACGTGTCCCAGAATCCATTGCAACATTTTGTGGTTTTTGCAGTAAACAAGTCTCTGCACAAAGGACTTTCTGAAAAGCAGAAAGATTTATTTTTATTTTTTAATCACACTGGTTAAGAAGCGAGAAGGCTGTGTCTGGCTTGGCAGGTTCGCAGACAGGATGAATTGGAAAGTCCCCCAAGATCTCGTTGGATCTCACTGGATGCAGTGGTTAAAAGAGCTTCTCTTAGCTGTAGAGTCCTCTCTTTGCATAGCCGGCCTACCTTCTAGGGTTGTTGCGTACAGCACCAACAGAAGCAAGGTTTGAAACACTAAAAAAAAGCTATATAGCCAAGCCCTTTTTGTTTAGGCCCAACTTGGCTGTCTGTGAGTCTGGCCGGTCCATCCAGAATCCCCATTCTGGATAACCTCCAGAGTCTGAAAAATGCCTTTTTTTCCTGCTTTTAACAAAATCTATGAAGAAGGGAAGGGCTATGTAGACATAGCTTGTTTTCTTCCCTCTCTTTGGGGGAATCTGGGCCACATATTTTGAATTCCTCGCTTTGTCCGCCCCTGTGGTAGAAGGGTTTCAAATTGATTCACGGGAAGAGACGGACAGGAGAAAAAAAAAATATCTAAGTTTGTTTATTGGGGCACCGAACAAGAAGGTACATATAGGTAGTTTGAGCGACAAATTGTGCAATCTGTAAGAGTTGGTGCATTGATAACATCTCGTCCCTCTTGCATTTGGCGTTTGCAGTTCTACTGCAAACCGATTCTATTGCAAATCTATTATTTATTTTGCAAATTGTATCTCTGGAATATGTTTGAAACCTCCTGTTTCTTGCGCCAATCCTCTGCATACGCTTTCTCCAGTCGGACCCCCGCCAAGTGTGTTGGATTTCAACCCCATCATCCCTGCCAGCCTGATCAGAGAGAGGAATTGTAGTCCGCCAGGCCAAAAAAAGTCGAGCTGTAGTCTGCGATGCGGGCCCAAGCCTCGTTTGGAAGAACCACTGTTTTTCACTCGCTGTTGAAAGGGCATCTTCCCCACACGCTAAAAACATGTTAGAACAAAATAAGAAAACCATCGTTTAATGAAGGAACGATTTGGCAGTTGAAACAATATTAAATTACTGCTCTCGGGAGCAGTGAATCCTCCATGGAGTCTTTGGAAAAATAGAAATTATGATTTTTCCCCCCCCCCACCCCATCTTGCTTTCCCAATTTTTGATTATTTTTCTTTTAGTGTCTTCTTTGAAATGGGCACAGGCAATAGAGCAGGGTGGAATCGTTTGCTCGCCGCGTTGACCCATATTTCCTTATTCGGAATACACCCTTGCTTCCCAGTGGGGATCTGGGGGTGCTGAGAACGAAATGAACCGTGGCTGCTTTTTTGGCGCTGAAAAAAGGAAGTTGTTGACTCACCCATGAGCGACTGGGAAACCCCCCACTGGCCTCGCTAGTGTGAGTCCGTGACATTGAATCCGGGTTTCAGACTTTGCATCCACGGTGCGTGGGTAAGAATGGAGGTTTGCAAAGTCCCGGCAACTCTGTTTTCAACGCTCCATTCAATGTGCTCTAAAATGACGATTGACCCTCTTTTCCTGGAAAAAAATAAAGGAGGAGGCTGGAAAAAAAAAGGGGGGTAAATCTGAAAGAGGTTCCGAAGGATAAAAAATTTAAAAGGTTGATGTTTATAACTTGGCCCTCCAGAGGAAAACTCAAGGGGCAAATCCCAGAAAAACTTCACCGGAACGCAAATTCTAATAAAAATGGAGCCGCCCATTGGGGGAGATGGGGGCATACAAATTAATTAATTAAATAAGTAAAAATATCTAAAAAGCAGAACAAGCGGTGAAGTTATAAGAAGCAAGCATTAACGAGTGACCTGTTGGGGGAGACGGGTGGCATACAAATTTAATCAATAAATGAATGAATGAATTAAAAGGGATTTCTGCAATCTGATGGTGCGTGAAGTGGGACCCTTTGTCCGGTCAACGTAAAATGACCAAAAGAAAGGGTAAAAGGGAGTTTTGGAAAAATAAATAAATCTAAAGGATATCCTTGATAATAAAGGCTGTATGGTCACTGTGCCTAAAACGCCATGATGTTTTAAAGCAGTGTTCTCAACCTTGGCAAGTTTAAGATACGTGGACTTTAACTCCCAGAATTC